TTCAAAATGATCCCACCCCTCTGCCACCATGACAAGGTTCTTCCCCACTCTGAACTCTAGGGTACAGATGTGGGGACCTCCATGAAAGACCCCCTACGCTTTTTCTTACCAGCTTAGGTTAAAAACTTCCCCAAGGTACAAATTTTGCCTTGTCCTTGGACCCTATGCTGCCACCACCAAGCGTATCAAACAAAGAACAGGGAAAGAGCCCACTTGGAGACGTCTTCCCCCCAAAATATCCCCCCAAGTCCTACACCCCCTTTCCTGGGGAAGGCTTGATAAAAATCCTCACCAATTTGTACAGGTGAACACAGACCCAAACCCTTGGATCTTAAGAACAATGAAAAATCAATCAGGATCTTAAAAGAAGAATTTTAATTAAAGAAAAGGTAAAAGAATCACCTCTGTAAAATCAGGATGGTAACTACTTACAGGGTAATCAGATTCAAAACATAGAGAACCCCTCTAGGCAAAACTTTAAGTTACAAAAAGACACAAAAACAGGAATATCCATTCCATCCAGCACAGCCTATTTTACCAGCCATTGAACAAAAGAAAATCTAACTCATTTCTAGCTAGATTACTTACTAACTTTTTACAGGAGTTCTGAGCTGCATTCCTGATCTGTTCCCGGCAAAAGCATCACACACAGAGCCAGACCCTTTGTCCCCCCCGCGCCCCCTCCAGCTTTGAAAGTATCTTGTCTCCTCATTGGTCATTTTGGTCAGGTGCCAGCGAGGTTATCCTAGCTTCTTAACCCTTTACAGGTGGAAGGGTTTTGCCTCTGGCCAGGAGGGATTTCATAGCCCTGTGGACAGGAAGGTGGTTACCCTTCCCTTGATATGCATGACACATCTCCACTCCAACCCTGAAACTGAAACAACTGGATGCTCACTGGTACTGTTACTTCACAGCTGCATGCGGAGTACAGAAACAGACACAGGGATTGCTCTTGACGGGTCTCACTGTTTCTGTTCTCAAAGAGGGCCTGATCCAAAGCCCACTGAAATCTCACTTACTTCAGCAAGCTTCAGTTCAGACCCTGTATGTACTGACGGCCTCTGTTTGGCCCTTGAATCTTCTTGCACTGGTACTAAAATACAGCCAGGGCATGCAGGGTTTAATAGACCCATGGGGAACACCCAGGCAGGCCTTACACTACAAGTGTACAGGCACCTAGTTCATCGTTTACCATCTGTGCCATTTAATAATTGCCACCCTGATTTTTCCCAAGTTTTGGGTAGTAAAAAGGTGCCCTGACCTGAAACTCTGTGCCCCAGAATTCAAGCTAGACTGGAGTTTTATGGCTGATAACTAAGGCTGCAATTCTGTCACGGAGGTCACGGATTCCGTTGACTTTCCACAACCACTACTGGAGTGGCCCCAGGGCCAGCTGCACCGGCCACTGCTGGTCCTGGGGAGCACCCCAACAGTAGCTGGTGCGGCTGGCCCTGCGGACCACCCGAGCAGCAGCAATCCTGGGTGCAGCCAGAGCAGCGGCCCCATGGGACGCCCTGGAGGCCATCAGGAGAATGGTCTCCAGGGGCCTCGGAGCAGCAGGCCACTGGGGGCAGTCAGCTCCCTCTGCTGGAGTAGGGCCCCCCCCCCAGAGCACTAGGGCCCAGGAGCAGAGATTTAGTAATGGGTTTTTATAGTAAAAGTGATGGACAGGTCATGGGCAATAAACAAAAATTCACAGCCAATGACCCGTCCGTGATTTTTACTATAAGTACCCATGACTAGAACTTAGCCTTGCGGATACCCTCTGGTAGTAAAAAGAAAAGGAGGACTTGTGACACCTTAGAGACTAACCAATTTATTTGAGCATAAGCTTTCGTGAGCTACAGCTCACTTCATCGGATGCACCCGATTAAGTGAGCTGTAGCTCATGAAAGCTTATGCTCAAATAAATATGTTAGTCTCTAAGATGCCACAAGTACTCCTTTTCCTTTTGCGAATACAGACTAACACGGCTGCTACTCTGAAACCTCTGGTAGTAGGCATTTATAAATAAAGGGCTGACCTAGCTAGGACAGGATTTCGTTCACATCAATAGAATCTACATTTTTAGAGCATCTTGTAGCAGGAAAGACTGCACCCCCGTGTGCCTTACAAACCCTTCCTACTGATCACAATATTTATTGCTGTACAGAGGCCCACGGATTTCAATGAAACTATAAACACTATACTTGAGGGGGTTGCAGGATCCACTCCTATTTCACCAATTGGTTAAATGCTGCCACCTCTAGGACAGAATGCGAGACAACATTCAGAAAGACGAGTGATTTTAGGAATGAGTTACAACAGAACAGAGATGAGGAGTCATATGTCCAATTAAAATGCCCCTCGAGCTTCAATGCACACAAAAAAACCTCACTGACTTCAGTAGGAGTTTTGTCTGTGGCAGGATGGCAGTTTCTGGCCCACTTAAGTATCCTTGGAGCTTTTACAATAAAACAAACTCATCGTGAATAACCGCAAGCATGTATCTGAACAAATGATTAACGGTTTCAATATAGGGATAAAACCACAAGCAAGAGAAGCATGCAGTTCCAAAGCCATTCAGCAATCGCAAGGGGTTTTAGGCTTGCTTGAAAACGAACTATTTTAAGGCAGCCAAAATTGGAAATTGTTCCAAATTCTCTGACGGGGTGCCTGAAGAGCTGCCTCAGAGCACCTCAATTGGATCAGCCCCTCCAGGCAAGATAGGCAGGGGGGATGCCTCGTTTGTGAATCCCGACAGGCCTAGCCATGACTTGTATATCAGCACTTAGGCAGCTGGGTGCGTGCCCACCCGCAGAATTTTAGGGGACTTTGTCAACAGGAACATAGGGGGTTAGGCCACAGCTGAGCTGGGGGATTTGATGATCGAAATTTTGGACTTAGGCAGCTAAAGTAGCAGGTAGGTGCCTAAATCCCTTTGTAGACCTAGCCCTCATTCCCTTTGTGCCTCAGTTCCCCATCTGTAAAATGGGCATCTTAGCACTGGCCTACCTCACAAGGGTGAATACATTACACTGTAAAGCACTCAGAGCCTAGGGTGATGGGGCCATCTAAACACCTGAGATAGACAGAGGCCCCTAACTCCATACTTCTGCACCTAAATAAAGAGCCAGGTTTTCAAATGGACTCAGCATCTCCAGGTCCCAGTGAAGTCAGTTAGGTGGTGGGTGCCCAGCACCTCTGAAAACCAGCCGGTTTATTTCGGTGTCTAAATCTGGATGTAGGGACCAAGCCTTACCTTAGCACCCCAAGTTTGAAAATGCTGGCCTAAGTTTACACGCCTGCTTTTAAAGACGTCCCACAGGTAGGGCCCTACCAATTGCATGGCCATGAAAGACATGTCACGGACCATAAACTAAGCCCTTTCCCAGGAAATTTGATGTCCCCTGTGCTGCTGGGAGCACTCCAGCTGGGGGCTCCTATCTGCAATTCCCGGCTGAGCTGGGGAGGGACAGGACGTGTCCTTCCCCTGCACGGCCACTCTTGGGGAGAGATCCGATCCACTTCTGGGTGCCTTTTGGATTGGGACCCCCCAGGGTTACAACACTGTGACATTTCAGATGTAAGCATCTGAAAACCTGAAACTGACCAATTAAAAAACTCTCTGGCCATGACATTGATCAAAATGGACCGTGAATTTGGTAGGGCCCTACTCATAGGTCTTTGAGTACCTCTGGTTTGTGTCTAACACCACACAAGCACAGGAAGGAAAATGCCAGATCACTGAGTGACCCATCTACTCCAGTATCATGATTCTGGCAATGGCTTTTATCAGACACATCAGAGGAAAATACAAAACCCCGCAGTGTACAATTAACAGATAATTAGTCCATTGGAGAAGCTTGTTCCTAATTCCAGGCAGTTTAGTAGTTGGCAGATCCCGCGAAGCAAAATGGTTTATATCCCTTATCTAATGTAACTGTGGATGTATTTCCTTTAATCATTTCTAATTCCGCTAGGGCTCCCCATCTCTATTCTGGGGCCCTGGTTCAGCATTTACTCAGAGGGAAAAGTACCACCTGAAGAGGGCTTGTCTACAACAGTGTTTCCTGACCCGCCAGTGTGGTGCGGGTATGTTCTAGATGGGTCACCACGAGGGCTGGATTATCCCATCACTGGGCCCTAGACAAACATAGACTTTCTTCCGGCCCGGGGTGGAGGGGAGGCCCCGGAAGTCTCCTACTGAAAGGCAAGCCAAGAGCAATCTTTCATAGACTGTGGGAATGTGACAAGTCTTCCCCAGCTTGATGTAAAACAGCAACATCAAGTTTCTTCCCTTAAGGTACAAAGTTTCACAATAAATATTTGCACAGGTTTCTTCCTTGTAAAAACTCTCACTCCAGCCCAGATACAGCAGAATAAATATCATGTGATACCACAATAAACCTGACTAGCCAAGTAAACACGGATCGAAACACACCTTTCACCAGACAGGTACCACGATAATACTTGCATGGTCTCATATTCTACATATTCCTGTAAGGTGGTTTCTGTCTTTGATACATGTATGTAACTTGAATCAGCATTAATGGCAGTTATACATGTAGCGTGGGAGGAAACTAAACCCCAGTTTAAATGACCATTTTGTTCCCATAGCTGCTCCCATTTTGGGCATTTTCTCATAAACTTGCTGCTTCTTTTAAGCACACAAGAAAGGCCAGACTGGGTCAGACCAAAGGTTGATCTACCTCAGTATCCTGTCTTCCGACAGCAGCCAATGCCCGGTGCTTCAGAGGGAATGAACAGAACAGGGAATCATCAAGTGATTTTGCCATACAGATAGTATTCAAATAATTGCAGCGAGCCAACTAGCTATTGGACTGACATGACCCTAACTTGTCAACGTTGTACAATACCTTGGGGAGGGCCCCTCTAAAATGCATCAGATAAGAACAATAATTCCCAGACTGGTCGCATAAACTTCCATTGTTAAAGCAAAAGATCAGTGATGTTTGCTTACCAAACAACGGAAATCATGAACAAGGTATAAATCTCAGTGCTGGCTAAAGAATAATTTATTGAACAAACCATACAATGCAACAGGATGTTGCTTTCTAAGATACATTTTTTAGCCCTTGTTTGTCCCCAATGAATAGTTAAAGCACTTGAATGGTTGTAGCATATAAATGTAAATGCATTACTCCACTGCAAGCCTGTTTACTGTCTTAAGACCCAACCTGACAAAGATTTACCCCCCTGCATAACTTTATTCACGGACTACTCAGAAGAGTAAAGTTACACCCGTGGGTAGATCTCTGCAGGTTCCCTTCGGGCCGTGTCCTGCAGTAGTTCTGCACACAGAACCCCCCTTGTCTCTAACACCAGAAAGAGTTCTCTGTGCAAATCTAGGGCAGGGCTTGTCTTCACTGCAGAGCGTTACCTACCAGCCCCAGCGAGAGCCGTCACGCTGCAGAACAACGAGGAGTGTGGCATCACTCCAGCACCACCGAGCCTTTGTATTAGCAGCACAAAATAGCTTAATCCCCACTGCATTCCTAGCTTGAATGGGAGCAGCAGTGGAGGGTCAGGCCACCCAGCCCTGCCTAGCCAGCTAGCTCGTGTTTGAGCACTCAGGCTAGAGGTTTCTGTGTGCGCGTGGAGTTGAGTTCAGGGCTGCCCTCGAGTTATACCTGGAGCTGACTCTACAATGAAGACAAGCCCACTGAATCATTGCTGCTGGGTCTGATGCTGTAAGTACTGTGCATTTGATACCATCTGGCTACTGGATGACAAGATAGATTTATTGGGGTGGGGAGGCAGCTACATGACACTGTGCACTGCTTTGATTTATTTGCAAAAGGAAGAGTTTTATTTTCCCTTATCAGACTTTGGTGACTCCTGATTTAGGCTTTGATCCTCTCAGCAGATCCCTGTGAGTAGATGCGTCTGTCCGCCGGCAGCCTGCTGAAATCAATGGGAAACCCCCAAAGGCAACAGGGCCCACCCACGCAGTGTGGCTTGCTGGATCGGGGCCATACTCAGAGAGCAGCACTTGATACCACAAACTTGATTTTTACCAAGTTCTCTGGGAAGCAGAGCGCTGTCACTTCATGAGATTCACTGTTACTCACATGGCCACAAACTTTCAGTTCCAGTCTGTAACAGGAAAGGCAAAAATGCAATAACGGAGGAATGCCTCTTCTCTGTACATGTCCACAGCAGAACGGCTAAGGCCCTTGACCTTCCCCGGAATACATTTCTGTATTTTCTTACCGTGTTTATAGCAGATCCACCGATCCACAACATTTGGCATCATTAGTGAGATCGGTTTGATTTGGTAAACAATTCCTGGAACAATATTCCTTCGAGTCGAGTTACCAAAGATAGCAGAATGCTCTTCACCGCGGCAGCTTCGGTGTCGAGGTCATAGAAGCCGAGGCGTTGTGGCTTTTTTAGAGTTCAGTCTTCTGCAAACCCTATGAAGGAACTTGCGAAAAACTGATGTCCTGAAAATGATGAACACCCAGGGGTCCACAATGGAATTCACAGATAGAAACCTCAGGGCCGTAAGGTCTGCCTTTTCATTAAAGTCAGCGGCAAAGGCTCCGACATAAGCCCGGACCTGTTTTAAATAAAAAGATCTAATTATAAAACCTAACAGCTGAGCTCTGGCAATAAAGTACAGCACTTCGTAAATGACTTCAGTAAGCTCCCTACATTCAGTCATCATACTCGATGGCTTTTCTGCACTGAATCAGCACACGGCTCATTCTGAGATTGCGCTCTGCTTAGATCGACATCAAGCTTAACTAAAACCAACTGAGCAGGCAGATGGATCAGTCAGTAAACAATCTGGGATCAGGCAACAAAACAGTAGTTTCTGTGCACATAATTACACTTCATGGGACAGATCCTCAGCTGGTGATGGGGCGATGCCCATTGGTGCCAATTGAAGATCTGGATCCTATACGTTTTAATTGTTTAACAACTTACAAGCTCAGCAAGTGGTATGCAGGTGAGCACAGTAGTGCTCAACGGAATATAGTGAAGGCATGCAGGGCTAGCTTTGAAGGCTAACACAGACGGGTTTTGATAAACTGAATGTCTCATGAGGAAAACGGCCTCATTTTGATCTCCGTTGCACATGACTGGTGCCACTGAACTCAATGGCATTGCACTGGCATGAGATAAGAAGGGGGCCCGTATTTCTGGCTGTGCGTTGGCTACTAATCAATGCCCCCATTCAATCTCGATTCCAGGCCCTCGAGTTGCAGGGCTTGGATGTCATTAGCAGACGTGCAGATCTGAGAGGATGGTTTTGCCATTCCGACATGAATGCATTTTTGTGCCAAATAAAGGACATGTAAAGCCTTCTTCCTAAGATGGAAATAAACTGGTTTCTCCAAACTATCTGTGCCTCAGTGTCCCCGGGCTAGATCCTCAGCTGGGCTGAGCTGGGGAGGGCAAGGTGGATCTAAACAACCTTTGCATTCCTCTGATCCTGGCACCGCCAGGAAACAAAATAGTCCCCGGCATAACTAAAGCAACTTTAAGGAAGGCTCCGGGTAACAGCCGCTGGGAGCAGTCCCCTAAGGAGAGCTCCTCTGCCCAAGGATCAGGCAGCGTGCTGTGTGCTCTGACACCTGCCCCACGTGGGTGAGGGGAGTGGGTGACGTGCAGTCAGCTACACTCGCTTTATACCACCCTGGGATTTCCCGGTATCAGGGATCCCCAGCAGTGCAGTGCAAAGAAGCTGGGACAGAGTGTCTGGAAACAGGGCTGCTGCAGAGCCAGTCTCTGGGCAACCTAACGAGTGCAGCTGGCCTCCAGCCCGGGGCCTCATTGGCCACCATGATTGTGGGAAGAGTCAGCTGACCAGCTCTTAAGCCCGGCAGCAGCTGCATCTCACCAGCTACTCAAAGCATTTGATTTGCCCATGGCTTTGACAGCGCCTGTCCCTGCCTTGGTTCATTCCAGGTAACCTGGTTCTGATCCCTGCTTTAGGCACTGACCACCCGGGCTCGGCCTGACTCCTGCTCTGTCTCCTAGGTACAATCAGGGCTTAATTTGTGCCAGGGCACGTGAAGGCTAATCCCCTGCACCTCTAGTCTTGGCAGATCATAGCCCCGGCACCTCTGGGCTTGCTGCATCAGTTAGGAATCTCTAACAGCTGGACATGACTGCCACATCCCAGTCCTGTGACACAGGGGCTGAGGATGTGAACTAGACTTCATCTGTCTCAAACACAGGGGATAATAGCGCCCAAATCTGTGAAGACGTAAATGCTGGAATGAAAGGCATGATGGCCCTGATTCTCCTTTCACTTTACACTCACGTAACTCTCTTAACGTCAGTCAAGTTAATTGTGATTTAGTTTCCCCCTGGTGGGCAAGAAGGACCAGGCCCGCTCTCTGTGAAATGTTAACTACTGGGGAAGCGAATGTGTAAGGAACAATTGAGCGTTTGCAAACACGGCAGATCATAGGGACACATTGCAGCTGGGAAGGAAACAGCCTCCTTTCTAATGCAGCACAAAGCGAAGTCTACGTAGGGGCAAAACCTGAGCTCAGGAATTAGGTCACTGGAATTAGGACTGGAGAATCCTCTGACAAATGGAATTGCTCATGGATCAGGAAATCCCATCACTGGTTGCATTAAACAGCAAGGTGAGGTCCCAATCCTGCAAACCCTTAGGCAAGGGAAATAAGGAGGAAGAGCTAGCAGGTGAATCATAGAATCTCAGGGTTGGAAGGGACCTCAGGAGGTCATCTAGTCCCACCCCCTGCTCACATCAGGACCAATCCCCAATTTTTACCCCAGATCCCTAAATGGCCCCCTCAAGGATTGAACTCACAACCCTGGGTTTTTAGCAGGCCAGTGCTCAAACCACTGAGCTATCCCTCCCCCCAAGAAAATCATAGAATCCAAGGGTTGGAAGGGACCTCAGGAGGTCATCTAGTCCAACCCCCTGCTCTGCAGACAACTACTGGTCTGTGGGTGAACCACCTGAGAACGTTTTTGAGGGAAGAGAGAAAAACCTTGGAAAGGGGGCGTTAAACTTTGCTTGTGGGCCCGGCTTAGCATTAATCCTTTCTAGGCTACATGACAGTGCTTGTAAAACTGCTTTGTGCAAGAGTTCAATGAACTCTTTCCGCACCTCCATCATTAAGGTACATTTACCGTACCAATAAACCAATCCAGTGATGTGTACGTGTTGAAAGAATTCATAACTATGCTTCTTGGGTCAGAGTTAAGGCTGGATTCATTTCTTCCCCCCCGATGTATAAAATGTTATGTCATCTTTGGTCTGCTTCTGTGGCATGCAACAGCCTTCTGGGCAGGTAGCAGCTAAAATAGCTTTTTGAATTTTGATCGGTGCAAAATACCTGGTGCAAGACAGTGGCAGAATGGAGACGGCAAAAAGCCCAAATGTTGTACTGCCTCCAATCTAGGGATTGGAAAAAACGTTAGGGCAAAAATCTCAGAGAGATGACGGGCAGTCGGTGAGACTTTTTAATTCCTACATAAATGAACATGTTGGACCTGATTCTCCTCTCATTGACATGGGTGTAAATCAGGAGTAACTCCACTGAAAACAATGGAACAACACTGGTGGAAAACTGGTGTGAAAGAAAAATGAGGCCTATTATTTTGAGACTTTCCTTTAATGCACCTATTCCATAACCGTAAAAGTGCTTGTTTTTACACGCAGTGGTGTCGTAGCCATGTTGGTCCCAGGATATTCGAGAGACAAGGGGGATGGGGGGACATCTTTGACTGGACCAACTTCTGCTGGCAAGAGAGAGATGCTTTCGAGCTGACACACCACTCTTTTTCAGGTGTGTGTAGCTGGAAAGCTTGTCTTTCTCACCGACAGAAGTTGGTCCAACAACAGATATCACCTCACCCACCTTGCCTCTGGTTTTTTTTACAGTAACTAAAGATTTGCAACCTTGAATGATTTGAAACTTAAATGTTGCTTTAAAAAAAACACACACCATTTTAACTATGAAGTCATCATCTCCATAAAATACCGGTTTTCGCACAATATTTAGTATGATGATAATTCTTGTGTGGTAAGAGTGCCCCCTGGTGGACACAGTAATGTATCACCTTTGAGTTCCATTATGGTCTTAGGGCTTGTCTACAAAGTAGAATTGTGCTGGACTAGCTATTCCTAAATTGCTCCATGTGTATGTAGACCAACCCTCAGTCACCTCAGAATAAATCCTGGATAACTCTATTGACTTTGTTGGAGTTATGCAGAGTTTTCTGTGGCATAAATGTGATCAGAATCGGGTAGAATTGGATTGGAGGCTAGCAACTTAGTCTAAGGACAGATTTTTAAAGGCATTTGGATGCAGAGAAGCACCTAGTAAGATTTTTCAAAGGTGCCTAGCTCCCACTGAGAGTTAGGTGCCTAATGGTAGAGAGGGGGCCTAAATATCTTTAAAGTCTGGTGTCATTTTGTTTTACTTTGCAGAGGGTAGTGTAGAAGGGATACACAGAAGGGGATTCGATTCTAAAAAAGCCTTCTAACCCTGTGGTTCTATGATTCGAAGTACTTAGACTGGAAATTCTTTGGGCGGAGACTGTCTTTTTATTCTGTGTTTGTGCACCTAGCACATTTGTGGACCCCGGCCCATGACTAGAGCTCCTAGGAACGACCACAAAACAAAGAAATAATAATAATGGAAAGGGGGTGAAAAAAACTGAAACACGTGTAAACACATGAGCCTACGCGCTCCCAAAAGTGCTTCTTTGGCTTAGTTTTGGTACGTGGCGTTGACTTTCCCTTGTAAATTTAAGAATCACTATTTATGTGAAATTTATTATTCTCATTTATGAGAATGCCCACTTTTTACTTTCACTAGATTCAGGTTTATGCTCTATTTCTTTAGTCACCGTCCATATTGAAGGAGAGATTATGTGCAGCTCAGGGGCTTTATCTTCTTTGCCCAGAGACTGCTAAACCTTCTCTGACAACTTTAACTTGGATCCAGGGGTCATAACAATACTTTGGAAAAGAATGTTTCTTCCCCTTTGCAATGCACAGGTATTTTAAAAACAAAACTCCTGAATTCTCTTACAAGATCCTTATCCCACCTGTATTATTCAGCTGGAACATTACCAGTAGGTCTCTGTGCAACATCACATTGTATATTTGTCTCCTTTTCTAAAAAAGGGTAGGAAAGTCCATATACAAATACAGCACTTAACCAATGTTTATTGTCTTGGAGAACCACTACAAATTTACCTATTAAAAACTCCACTGAAAGGGTTTCCCATTAGCGGGCTAACACAAGACCACAAAAGCAGTGACATTTACAATTAGGGTCTAACAACACACAGACACACTGATAAGGAGATAGGGCATTCTGCATCGGCTTTGGAAGATCCTCAACTGTGCGTTTTCTTCCTTTTGTGGTTTTAGCAGACCTTTAACGGTCTTTGTTTTGTGTTGAGTCCATTTCAATTTTATAGGTTAAAAACATTTGGTGCATACAATGAATCTGAAAAGAGAACTGAGGAATGTGATACCCAGGCTATGAAATATTTGTCCTATTTACTGTATCCACCGTGTACTGGAGGTGCAGGTTATTCACTTCTGAATGTGAAATATAAAAGCTGGTCTCGGCTAATTAACAGCTTTGTCAATGGGGTATATGCTTTTGGATGCCTCTTTATGTTGCCCCAGCTGTTTGTGAATTATAAGATGACATCAGTTGTGATACTCGGTCTCAACTTGCACAGGAGTATATGGCCAAAAAAAACCTTTTTGGCTGATTAAAAAAATGATTATGCATGATAGTGACAACCCATTCTCCCAAGCACAATGTTCCTGTTGTTTTTAAAATAATGGTTCCCTTCAAAACCTGTAGTGCGGAACAAAAGGGCTAATGCTTACCTGCAAAATCATACTTTAAAAAACCCAAACCATTAAACCTCTCTGAGCTAAAGAGGGGTGATGGGGTGGGAGGTGGGTGAAGCCTACTAAAGGTATAAAATCTACCAGATTGTATTTCCAACCACATAAAACCTTCTCAAATTGTGCATGTGGTTTGTTTCTTTGGTGTCTTTTCCTCCAAATTCAGCCCCTAAGTCTCTCCTTGTGGTTAAAATCTCACATTTGATTAGTTTTGATTTTGTAGCTGTAAATCACTGACAAAGGAATTCTGAATATTGAGATGTCCTTAACGGCACTAATGGGCACCACTAAAGTAATTGCATTTTGATTTAATGGCTTTTTTCCCTCCAAACCATACTTTCATATATACAACAGCGTTAAGATATGTGCCGGATCTGGATGAGATAGGTAACTGAATTAAGCCAGTTTTCAGAGTATTTTCACATTTACACAAGTGAAGCTGTGGAAAGAAAATAAGGGCTTGATCATTTAAATCCATATGATCCTGAGTAGTAACCCTACTCATATGAATAACACCAGAAGAAAAGCCATACTGGGTCAGACCAATGGTCCATCTAGCCAGGGCTGCCCAGAGGATTCAGGCGGCCTGGGGTCTTCGGCGGCAGGGGTCCTTCCACTCCGGGTCTTCGGGGCACTTCACCGAAGACATGGAGCGGAAGGACCCCCGCCTCCGAATTGCCGCCGAAGACCCGGAGGGGAAGAAGCCGCAGCGGGTCCTTCACTCCGGGTGTGTTCGGCGGCACTGAAGGACCCTCCCCGCCACCAAAAACTCTCGTGGGAGCCCCTGAAAACTCTCATGGGGGCAGGGGCCTGGGGCAAATTGCCCCACTTGCCCCCCCTCTGGGCGGCCCTGATCTAGCACAGTATGCTGTCTTCCAACAGTGGCCTGTGCCAGATGCTTCAGAAGGAATGAACAGAACAGGGCAACTTCTTGAGTGATCCATCCCCTGTCATCTAGCCCCAGCTTCTGGCAGTCAGAGGTTTAGGAACACCCAGAACATGAACACCCCATTGCAGTATATGGGAGTACTCACACAAGTAACCTAATGCATAACTATTTGCAGGAATAGTTCTTAAATTAGCACAGCCCACTTTCTTCTGTGAAATGCTCTATGTTAATATGAAATTCAGACTGTTATCCAGTGCTGGAGACATGTCTCAATGGATAATGTTTTAGAGAGAAAAGGACATGAAAACCTCCCTCGCATAAGAAATCGGGGCATGTGAGGAGAACATGGGTAAGATTTGAGTGATCTGTGGAAGGTGAATGATGCTTCATTGAAGGTTTAAAATTTTTCACAATGTTAATACATTGGACACGTGCCTGAACGGACTTGGGTCTCCTTTAAACTGTGGGTACGGGTGGAAAAGTGACTCTGAAATACACAAACATTGGTGTTTCTTGTTGGCTGATGGCCAGGAACTTTGTAGTAAACGTCTCAGTGTACTCATCAAAGTAGGATCTTTCTGGGGTTTAGCACAAAACCTCACTGATCGTAAGTCAAGTTGCCTTGTTTGTACTTCATACGCCATCCACAACAGTGTGACTCTGGAATCAAAAGCTTTTGCTGTCAGCTTTGTTGACAGCGCCTGAGAAAAAAATGCAGCTTGCAAGAGTTGCTGTCATGGATCTGTAACACTGTAAACATGTGGTTATTTTTAATAACTGTCTCAGTAGAGAAAGCAAGACTGACTTACAGTCTGCGGTTGTAATAACCATGACACAGTGTAATTTGCAAGGGGTTCACCTCCTTACTTGTCCCTTGGTTTATGAGTAAACGGAGGGCTTCTTAGTCGATTCAAGCAGGCGAGACATGGAGCTTACAGAGTAAATGGAGCAAGGAGGTGTCATTTTTAAGGTCACTGTGAGAGCATACCCACAGTTTAAGAGGAGACTCTACTTGGGCACCTTGGGGTGCCCATGTCACTTTTTTTTCCCTTTCTTTGTTTGCTCTTAAAAAGTTTTTAGTGTCAGTGGAAAGGTGCTGGATTGCTCCCCCAGAAAAGGCTCAGCATGGACTGCAGAGCTGAGAGGGTGGGTCAGTGTTCCTGTCCACTCAGTCCTTGGTATCTCCGCAGAGGCTGTCAGCAGGAGTGCCAAAGGACAGACTCGGTCCACCCACCCATTTCAGGTTGCAGGGAGCTACCCAATTAACCCCTCCTCCGTCACTGCTGCCCTGGTCAGCTTTCAACAGCATCCAGAGCCTTCCGCTGTTTTATCAGCCCATGTGCCTCTGTCCATCCTCCACACCCAAGAACAGTACCCTGGAAGTTATCAGTTCCAGAAGTCTGGTAGTGACAGAAAGTTACCCACATCCTTTTAGTTAGAGCTACTGGGCCTTTATCTGCACTCACGCCATTGCCTTCATTCACTGCAGCAAACATATGTACAGGGGGTTCACCCCACTCATCCTGAGCACCCCTAACACTGGGACAGTGGTGCTAAGTTTTCGGCCTCATTTTGCCCTCCTGAAGATGTAAAGGGGGCAGAGGAATCAGGATGGGAAATCCCAGCCATTAACATCAGCGGGGAGAGGATTTCACTCGCTAGCTTTGATCCCCTTTGTATGGGTGTGGGGGGCAAACCGCTTACCCACCAGCGTAGTTCCTTTGACTTCACTGGGCTTGCATAGGCTAATAAAGTGGCCCAGTGTTGGCAGGATTGGTGTGTCCAAAAACCCGGTCTGCCTGGCTGCACCTGAAAGCCGACGCTCCAAAGGCCCCCTGGAAATAGGGCCGCTTCACAACTGATTTGCCAGGGTCGATGTGATTTTAAACCCACGTATTCCCCAGCGATTTTAAACCCTGGGTACAGAATACACCCTCTGAGCGGACACCCTCCCCGTGGGGGGAGAGTCAGGAGTGCAGTGGACCCCCTGAATGGGGCACAGCGCCCCAGCCCTCCAGTTTGCCTGGCGCCCCTAGAAGCACCAACCCGGCTGCCCAGTGCTTCCAGGCGAGGGCCAGGGGTGAAGCCGCCCAGGGGACAAGCCAGCTTCTAGCAAGGAGGGTGTGAGGGTGTAAGGCTATACTGGGGAGAGGGGGATGTTACTCCGGCCAGACCCAAAGCCCGCCGATTGAAGTCAGGGGGAAGACGGCCCTCGGGATCAGGGCGGCCCCAGTTACGGTGGGGCGCTTGGGCCCCCCTGCAGGATCGGGACCTTGCACAAGCATCGCCCCAGCGCCCTCTCCCCCCGCTGCTACTCACGATGAGGGGCAGGGAGCAGACGCTGAAGAGGACGGTCATGAGGGCCAGCAGGACGAGGTGATCCAGCTCCTCCATGCGCGGCGCGGCGGGGGCCCGGCCGGCGGGCGGGCCGCTGCGGCGGTGGGGCCGGCGGGCCATGCGGTAGAGGCTGCGCATGCTGGCCAGGTTGCAGAGCCCGATGGCCAGCCCCAGCGCGCCCAGCAGGCTGGCGTAGAGCACGGAGTAGCCCCGCGCCGGGGCGGCGCCGCCGGCCATGCGGATGAAGCACCAGGTGCCCGGGCAGTACTGCACGGTGGCGCCGAAGCCCAGCAGCGGCAGGGCGCAGAAGAGGGCGCACAGGGCGGCGGCGGCGGCGGCGGCCGGGGCCAGCAGGGCGGCGGCCCGGCGGCGCGGCAGGTGGCGCCGGTAGAAGTAGGGGTGGGCCAGCGAGAGCCAGCACTCCAGGGCCATGGTCAGCAGCAGCAGCGTGGGCGCCAGCCCGAAGAAGGCCATGAGGAAGGCGAAGAGCTGGCAGAGGCGGCCCGGCGGCCCCCCGGCGGCGGCCCCCGCCGGCCACAGCTCGCTCAGGCTCCGGTTGCGGGCGTAGGCCACCAGCACCATGGGGCTGAGCAGGCATTTGCCCAGCAGGTCGGTGACCGCCAGCCCGCTCACCAGCAGGTAGAAGGCGGAGGCCGGCGGGGGCCGCCCGCGCCGCAGCCGCCGCTGGCCCAGCAGGAAGAGGGCGAGCAGGTTCCCCAGCAGCCCGGCGCCGAAGAGCAGCGAGCTGGGCAGCGCCGACTCGCCGCCCTCGAGGGCGCGGCTGCTCCGGCAGCGGTAGCCGTCGGCTTCCATGGGGAGCGAGAGAAGAGCCCGGCGGGGCGGCGGCGGGACAAGAGCCCAGCCGGCCGGGGCGCTGGCCCCCCGGGGATTAGCGGGGAGGAGGGTCCGGGAGCTCAGCCCGCTGGGGAGGGGAAAGGGAGAGCCCGGCCCTGCGGGCGGGGGAGGGAGGTGCCGGCTGGCCGGGTGTGTGGGGAGCGGGGCTGCCCGCCGTCTGGGGGCGGGTGGGGGCCAGACACGCTGCCGGCGCGGGAGGGTGTCCGGGAACCCGACGGGGCGGCCAGGGGCTGCCTCGGAGGGAGCCCCGGGCAGCGGCCGGGCTCCTTTGCGGGGCTCAGACCCGCCCGGGAGGCTGCTGCGGGCGAGCAACGGGGCCCGGTCTCTGTGGGTCGCTCTGCCCCGGCTCGTTTGTCTCCTCGAGCGACGGGACCCGCCCGGCGGGGCCAGCCCCGGCGACAGCAGCCTGCTGCCCCTGCCGACACAAGGCGAGGTCCGGCGGGAAACCCCAGCGAAAACTCCGGGAGGTCCATGGGAGGCTTAACCAGCCCTCGCTGCTATGGCCCGATGCAGCCTCCCCGCCTGAGCCGCTTTGCCTGCGCTTGCCCGGTGCCCGGCTTTACCCGGCTGTCTGCGATGTCTCCCGAGCAGCTCGGAGGACCGGGGCTGTGCGGTGGGGTTACGCTAGGCAGAGAATCAATCCTCCATCCGAGCAGCCTGCGTGCACGGCTGTCACCTCCGGGAAGGTTTCGCTCTCTTGACACTCGCTTGCCTGTGACTTCAGCTTCCTCTTCTCCCAGGTCGCTGCTCGAGCCTGTGCGGTTTGCAAATGTTTCGGTCTCGTTTTGAAGAGCGCACGGCATCGTCCCGAAGCGCTGGAGGAAGCCACTCGCCCCCAGGGAGGAAAGTTCCCGACTGGCAAGTTAAGAGGGTGCGGGGGCCAGCCTGTGGGTTTCTGTTTCACTCCACCTTTCCCAGGCTTGGGATGCAATTGACGTTTTGGCCCTTGAGGTCGCAGAGAGAAACTCCTGAATGGGAACTGATGCACTGATAAAAAGAACAGGAGGACTTGTGGCACCTTAGAGACTAACAATTTTATGGGACCATAAGCTTTCCTGGGCTACAGCCCACTTCATCGGATGCATGCACTGATGTCTCCCAGAGTCTGCAGAAAGACAGCTCCTGTGCCTCCCCTGCTGCGCAGAGCTTTGCCAAGGAGGAGCTGTGTGAAATTCGTAGAATCATAGAAGATTAGGGGTGGAAGAGACCTCAGGAGATCAAGGAGGCCAACCCCCTGCTCAAAGCAGGACCAATCCGCAACTAAATCATCCCAGCCAAGGCTTTGTCAAGCCGGGCCTTAAAAACCTCTAAGGAAGGAGATTCCACCACCTCCCTAGGTAACGCATTCCAGTGCTTCACCACCCTCCTAGTGAAAAAGTTTTTCCTAATATCCAACCTAGACCTCCCCCACTGCAACTTGAGACCATTGCTCCTCGATCTGTCATCTGCCACCACTGAGAACAGCCGAGCTCCATCTTCTTTGGAACCCCCCTTCACGTAGTTGAAGGCAGCTATCAAATCCCCCCTCACTCTTCTCTTCTGCAGACTAAATAACCCCAATTCCCTCAGCCTCTCCTCGTAAATCGTGTGCCCCAGCCCCCTAATCATTGTGCCCTCTGCTGGACTCTCAAATTTGTCCACATCCTTTCCTGTAGTGGGGGCCCAAAAATGGACGCAATACTTCAGATGTGGCCTCACCGGTGCCGAACAGAGGTGAATAATCACTTCCCTCGATCTTCTGGCATTGCTCCTACTAATGCAGTCCAATATGCCGTTAGCCTTCTTGGCAACAAGGGCACACTGTTGACTCATATCTGACTTCTCATCCACTGTAATCCCTAGGTCCTTCTCTGCAGATCTGCTTAGCCAGTCAGTCCCCAGTCTGTAGCAGTGCATGGGATTCTTCCGTCCTAAGTGCAGAACTCTGCACTTGTCCTTGTTGAACCTCATCAGATTTCTTTTGGCCCAATCCTCCAATTTGTCTAGGTCACTCTGGACCCTATCCCTACCCTCCAGTATATCTACCTCTCCCCCCACCTTAGTGTCATCTGAAAACTTGCTGAGGGTGCAATCCACACCATCCTCCAGATAATTAATAAAGATTTTGAACAAAACTGGCCCCAGGACCGACTCCTGGGGCACTCTGCTTGATACTGGCTGCCAACCAGACATGGAGCCGTTGATCACAACCCCCACTGAGGCCGACGATCTAGCCAACTTTCTATCCACCTTATAGTCCATTCATCCAATCCATACTTTTTTAACTCGGCTTCTCAGTTTCACAGCAGCAGTTGAGCACCTGTAGGTGACCGAGCAAGGGGCAAGATTAATTTACGTTTCCATGCTGGAATGGAGGCAACAAGGAAGCTACCCTCGAGAGAGGACCCAAAAGCATCAGGAGGCTGGAAGAGCCCCCTCCCCACCTTTGCAGCAAATAGATCAATGGAAGGGCTAGAGAAGACATCCCCTCCTCCAGCAGCCAACAGGGGTCTGGTTTGGGCTGGGACGAGAGAGAAAACTTCTTTCAGCTAATGGTGGACAAAGATCTCAAATTTATCATTGAGCTACAAGGCAAAGGCTGATGAGATAGTTAGTGCTCTCAAACAGGATTCTTCTCCTTTGCCTTCCACCTCCTCTTGCTGTTGACTACCCTCCTCCAATCTTTTCTACTGGCTAGTAAGTTTCTGGTATATTTTTTTCATGTCCGCTCTTTGGGATCCCCGAAATTCAGTAGTATTCGAGAAGCTGGATATGAGTCAACAGTGTGCCCTTGTTGCCTAGAAGGCCAATGGCATTTTGGGATGTATACGTAGGGGCATTGCCAGCAGATCGAGGGACGTAATCATTCCCCTCTATTCAACATTGGTGAGGCCTCATCTGGAGTACTGTGTCCAGTTTTGGGCCCCACACTACAAGAAGGATGTGGAAAAATTGGAAAACATCCAGCAGAGGGCAACAAAAATGATTAGGGGACTAGAACGCATGACTTATGAGGAGAGGCTGAGGGAACTGGGATTGTTTAGTCTGCGGAAGAGAAGAATGAGGGGGGATTTGATAGCTGCTTTCAACTACCTGAAAGGGGGTTCCAAAGAGGGTAGATCTAGACTGTTCTCAGTGGGAGCTGATGACAGAACGAGGAGTAATGGTCTCAAGTTGCAGTGGGGGGGTGTTAGGTTGGATATTAGGAAAAACTTTTTCACTAGGAGGGTGGTGAAACACTAGAATGCGTTACCTAGGGTGGTGGTGGAATTCCTTCCTTAGATATTTTTAAGGTCAGGCTTGACAAAGCCCTGGCTGGGATGATTTAGTTGGGGACTGGTCCTGCTTTGAGCAGGGGGTTGGACTAGATGACCTCCTGAGGTCCCTTCCAACCCTGATATTCTATGATTCATAACCCCCACCACCAATCCTCACTCCTCCAAAAGTCACACACCTTTGTGTCAGAGAAGTCCCATCAGCCATTTCTTAGCACTGATTTTACTTTTTCAGTGTTTTCACGTGTCAGTCCCAGACACACCCAGGTGCGGTCACTATAGTTTGCAGGTTGTTCACTAATGTTTTTTGAATTGAACAAGTATGAAGAAATGATTTCTGCTCTGTCACTTTTTTTGCACATCTAAATAAATGCACCAAAAAAAAAAAAAAGGTACCAAGGTGACAGATGCCTTAGAAATATATAAGACTAAAAACTTATACTAAAAAGTCAGGTGTCAATTTTAGTAAATTTTAGAGTGTATGAATATAATGGGTTTGCCCTACATTTCAAATGTTGCAGGAAAATAACGACTAATTGTCAAATCATCTATAAAATATACCAGTAGATTACATATAAGGTACTATTCTAGCACTGGTGAGGCCTCAGCTGCAGGACCGTGTCCAGTCTGGAGCACTATACTTTCAGAAAGATGTGAACAAATTGGAGAAAGTCCAGATTAGAGCAGCAGCAACAACAAAAGTTTGGAAAGCAAGAGAAATGTTGAAATAATTGGGGTGTGTGGAATTTAGAGAAGAAGATGGGTGGGGAAGGGAGGACCTGATAACTCTACAAATACGTAAAAGGTTGTTATAAAGATGGTGATCAGTTGCTTTCCATGTTCACTGGAGGTAGGACAAATAATTGACTTAGTCTGTAGCAAGGGAGAGTCAGGTTTGATTTTAGGAAAACTTTTAACAATAAGGGTAGTTAACCACTGGAACAGTTTACATTGGGAGGTTGTGGAATCCCTGTCCTTGGAGGATTTTAAGAACAGGTTAGACAAACAGATCAGGGATGGTCTAGGTATACTTGGTCCTGCCTCATTATGGGGGATGTTGAGGTCCCTTTCTGCCCTGTATTTCTATGATAGATACGAGATAAGGCCGCAGTTCAGGAAAGTCTCTCTTAATGCTTATCTTTAAGTACTGTCCTGAAGAGAAATGAATGCAAGCATATACTTACATGCTTTCCTGAATCTGGGCCTAAAGGAGGGGGGGAAAACACAATTCTCATTGGGAAAATAATGAAAATGAAATCTTCCAAACGAGAACATAGTATCAAACTCTTATAAAGGAAACATGCTACATTCTTTTGCGCAGCCAAGCAAGCTGGACTGTGAGACAATATCTCAGCATCTTTTAGATGAAGAACAGAAAATGCTTTTCTTGAGAACACATTTTTCACTTCTCTGCTTGTTCATATCCTGACTAGATGATGTATTTTATGCTTGTGAAGATAGGCTATAATAAATATTTTGCATATTTGGGGCCTGATCTTGCATTCCTTGCACACGGAGAGCTCAGCAACTTCCAGCTGTATAAAGAATGCAGGATTGGGCCCCTCCTAAAATCAGTTGTTTGGGGATTCGGTTTAGGTTGAAAAAGAAAATGGTTTGGAAAACAAAGTGAATTTATGACCCTTCTTTGCACTTTTGCGGTGTAACATGGTTCACGACCCACCCCTCTTCCTGGGGCCTGCTTGCTCTTCTTCAGGTTGTGGAACATCCGTGCCTTTATTTACCTAATAAAATGTCCCCCCCCCCCCCCCCCCCCAGGGTCCATCTATATACAAGCTTTACAGGCAGAGTCAGCCTTCAGCTAGG